TACTTCATATTCAAAAAAGCAATCAAACATAGCAGCTGATGATCCAGTCTGTAGTATTCCCAAAAAAGATTTGAACGCCAGAATCGAGTAGCGAGAGGCCCCTATCAGCCAAAACTAAGCATGTTTCCGAGAACTAAAATAGGGAATAAAGAAAGAAATTTTCAGAGTGATTGGTATGGAAAATACAGGTGGCTCGAATACAGTCCAGCAAAAGATGCAGCATTTTGTTTCTACTACCATTGCTTTTCTTCTAATGATGAAACACAAAAAGGTCACGCTGATCCAGCCTTTATTGAAAAGGGATTCAGAAACTGGCACAGGGCTAATGAATGTTTTAAAACTCACCAACAATCAAAATCTTATATGCTGAGCACTGCATGGTCAAGCTTTAATGAAGGAAAACATATTGATGTGTTACTAGATGAGAGCAAGAAAGTTTATCTATCAAAAAAAGAAGAAGAAAGGTGCAAGAACAGAAATCTTATGAAGCGACTGATTGACATTGTTCGGTGTTTGGCAACAGGTGGCAGACCATTTCGAGGACACAATGAAAAAGCCGATAGCCACGAGAGAGGTTTATTTCTAAATATTGTCAATCTACTAGAAAAATATGATCCTGTCATGCAAAGACATTTGCAAGAATCTCCTCGAAATGCTACATATCTGAGTAACCGCATCCAGAATGATTTAATTATGGCCTTACATAATATTGTGCAACAAAAAATTGTGTCAGCAATAAATGGAAAAATGATCTCAATAATTGCAGATGATACTGCTGACTGTGGACACCATGAACAGATGTGTGTTGTAGTACGATATTTTAATAATGAACAGCAAAGTCCAGTTGAGCATTTAAATTCAAAGGCTTTTAAAAGTTGATGCTCAGTCGATTTTTGACCAAATAAATAATGTTCTTGAAATTATTAAAACCGACTGGTCATCAGTGAGCTCTGTGTGCTTTGATGGAGCATCTACTATGTCTGGATGCAATGCAGGTGTTCAGATGAAATGTAAAGAAAAAAAACATGAAATACACTGCTATGCACATTGTTTAAACCTTGTCTTAGTTGATGCATGCACCTCAAGTAGACAAAACAGAACAGTGTTTGACTTCTTTGGCATTATCCATACTCTTTATGCCTTCATGGAGGGAAGTCCTGTGAGACATGCTGTAATGGAGAAGATTTCTCAAGAAGTAGGAACTCAGATGAAGACTCTAAAGTCACTGTCAAACACAAGGTGGGCATGCAGAGCAGAAGCAGTGGCTGCAGTAAAAGAAAACTTCTCAGTTATTTTACAGGCCTTAAATGAGATCATTGAATCAAGTCGCTTAGATGATGCTAAAATAAAAGCAAGGGGCCTTATTTGTGAATTAAATTTTTTCAAGTTTATCTTTGCTCTGCACATGATGCACCCTATTCTCCAAATGGTGGTAAAAGTTAGCAAGAATCTGCAAGCATCAAATCTCAACTTGCTTACTGCAAAGACAGTGGTGAAAAGCCTGCACAACTCCTTGGTCTCCATGAGAAGTGACCCAGATTATTTTCAGTCCATTTTCCATGACTGTGAAAAAAAGTGTGCCGAAAATAACATCACCATTCCCCCAGTTAGGAAGAGAAAACCTTCTGTCCTTCATGATGAAGCAGCAGCACAGTCTCAGTATCACTATGAAACAAAAGAGGAGCAGGAGAGGATATTTTCATTTTACCCACTATTGGATTCATTGATAACTGGTATTGACCAGCGATTTGAACAGGAGTCGTGTGATATTGTAATTGCAGTAGGAAAACTGCTAAACTTGGAGATTCCTAAAGGTGACATAGAAATCCTTGCCAACAAATTTAAGGTGTCAGTGGATGAATTGGAAGCATTGCAGCTCACTCTAATGCTTCCCCATAAGCCTGATCAGCACATAGGGAATATTCAGCATTAAAACATTCAAAATATTTTAACACTGAAGGGAAGGACAGTGCCACAGTTATAGAAACTCTAACTTATAAAGAGATGAAGCAATTACAATGTTTACAATGAACTTCAGTCATTTTTAGTAACATCGACCTCAATGTAATGCTTTTTCCAAATGATTCCATACTGTTAGAAAAACTCACCATTAGAATCTATCAGCATTTTTGTAGATACATCATTTTTTAAAGTACAAATAGGTCCCGACTTTACAAACTAATTGGTTCCAAAGCCTAGTTCATGAAGTAAAAGATCATAAAACGAGAACTAATTTCCCTTAGACACAGTGTAATAAACATGGGTTCCTTTCCTGACCAAGAAATGTTACCATTATATAATGTTATATGCAAATTCATATATGTTGTTGGGATGGTAAAGGAATACATAACATATTGAAATCCTCATCAAATCCTCATCAATTATCACCCTACTCAATGAAGAAACATGCAGCACTTGTTGAATGGGGCACCGCACAGTCCACCTTTTTACAGCTCACTTAAGCTCTCCTCCTTCTTCACCCTCTCCTTTATTACTCTCCTTTTCCTCCTTTTTTTTAAACAGCTCTTCAGTCCTCCTCTTGCTCCTCACTAATGCTGCCTGCCAAACATGGCACAATGTCAGAGGCGCACACACCCACACACACGCACACTACAGTACAGTACTTTGGAAGAACAACAACATGCTATGTTCTGCACAGTACAGTATTAAACAGATTTCAAACCTGTTTTTTAGACTTACCTTTATCTTCCTGCTCATCTTCTCTCTTCTTGTCTACTCTTGGCCACAAATTCTTCTTCCTCTCTTCTTTTCTGTGCTCCAAAGCAGACTTCTTGGTCCGGATATGTGGAGCGCTGGCACAAAATCTCAGCAAAACAAAATGGCGGTGCATCCAGGCAAAAGGGATTTCCAGGCACGCAGGACAGAGATAACCTTATCTAAGAGAGACAGAAAATTGGCATTATAAGACACCGACTTAGTCTCTTTAGTCAGTCAGATCTAAAAATATTATAAACTACCTGGACACCATTTAAAGGGAACAGTGAATATTATATTACAGAAGTTAATAGACACTTAAAGGGCCACATAACCTACACTTTCCTGAATAACAACCCAACAGCTAAACTGCAAATGGAAATAGAAATATTATTTTAAGAAGGGTTTAGAGAAAGTTGATAAGTTAATAAAACTATGAAGTAAATATTTTTGAAGAAATACAGCAGGATGGATATATGGCTACATGCAAAGTTAGCATGTTGTATAACTGTATAGATTATATTTGTGCACCGTAAAAAAAAAATTGGTTCGGCTCAATCGATTAATCCAAAATAAAACATTAGTTTGGGTGGTCTGAAATGCGATCATAGGGTGTTTCGGTTTGGACAAATTTTGACCATGTGATAATTTTAGAACAAACCAAAAGCATATAGGTTTGGCTATTATGTTTATATTTTGCAATACACTGATAGGCACATTTGGTTCAACGATCAAGAGATAAGAAGTGACGAATAGAGGAAAAAAGAAGGGGAATAGTAACCATATATTTAAAAATCTTGAAAATTTTGATTTATTTTTTTACTGCTCCTATTTTTCCCTCTTTTAGTCATTTTCACTTGATTTGCAAATATAACCACCAATTATTTTATTTCCTATCAATCATTTATTTTTCTGGTGCTACAGATGGAACTGTAAATCACAAATCAAATGAAACAGCTCATACATTGTCTGCTTTGTTTACTTCATAAGTCGTTCATATAGAGATTTGGAATCATGGGTGACGACTAGGATTTGTAATTTGTTTATTGATGGACAAGTTAATAGTAAAAATTTCGGCTATTCGTCCATTTGTCCTAAAGACATTAACAAATACATATTACAACAAATAAAATGATTTATGCTTACTGGATGATTTTTTTGTCCGTGCTATTTGCTCCTCGTTCTTTCATTTTAGTTTATTACAAGAAGGGAGCTACCCTCCTTGTAATATTTAAAAATAGCTGTGTTCCGTGATGCTTCCTAAATCCCCTGATAGCCCCCCTTTTCCTATGGGTTTTAATATGACCACCATATTTGTATAAGGGAGGTTCCCTTCCTTTACCCTGTCCCTACTCATGGCACAGCCAGTGACATCCCCACAGAGCCCCAGAATCAATATCAGTCACAATCAGTGTGATTGCATATGGCAGTAATACTAAACAGCAATCCTGCTTACCTCTATGCAGGGTGTGATGCATAATCCATGGTGGCCAACTGTCTGCTGGCAGAGTCCTTGGTGGTCCAGTGGCTGCTGCCAGTAGTCTCCCTGATGGTCCAGTGGGTGCTGTTGGCAAGATCCCTAGTGAGCCATTGGGTGTTGCTGGTAGAATCCTTTACTGTCATGTGGGTGCTACTGACAGAATCACTGATGGTCCAGAGGGTGCAATTGGCAGGATCCCTAGTGAACCATTGGATGTTGCTGGTAGAATCCTTTACTGTCCTGTGGGTGCCACTGACAGAATCACTGATGGTCCAGTGGAGGAGTGCTTGGTCTGCATCTGCCACAGGGCAAACTCCTTCTGAATCTTTGAGTGAGTGAATGAATTACAATGGTAATCCAGCAACAGAGCTCTACTTCTTTCAACGAGCACAAAGACTGCAATCTATCTCTATGGTTATTTAATATATTGCCAAAATGGCAATGTCTTTAATAACAACTTGTGCTAGAGTTTAGAGGGGCCACTGACAAGCATGGTCATCCCTCAACAGGTGGAACTCCAGGGCTCGGTTGCAATAGTGACCATTGTGTAACTGGTAGTTCCGTCACTGCCTAGTAAGATAGCTATCTCTTTTCTACCATTTGCAGTAAGGGATACTGTCACTCAGTCCTGCCACACCTGGCAACTGGAAAAAAAAATTGCTACTTCTTAAAACTCATTAGTTCTATCCAAACAAAATGAATTATTATCTTTAAAAAATATTTTACACTAGGTTGAGTGTATCAGGATCTGGTCAGTAACAATTCTGAGTTTGATAACAAGAGATGCATAGTTTACTGTTTGTATCACTTTAAAATGTAATTCAAAAAGCTATTTAAGCACAAATCTCATACTTCATATATAAATATTCTGTGTTGAATATGACAAAATTAGTAGTTTTTTAGTTCAAAAATGTAGCTTTTGATGTCATAAACTACAATATGTAATACATTCCCTTAAATGGGCTTGTGTATGTGTGTGAGTGCACACTTCTTGCTGGTATCAAGGTAAACCATTAACCATTCATCTTCTCTTGCATTCTCTTCCCTTTTGTTTTGCTTGCTATTTTTTACTCAGCAAATGGTAATTGGTTTTTACTGGACAATGCCGCCTTTGTTAGATGTTTTAAGAATGAGGTAAGTTTGTAGGACCAAGGCCAACAAGTTGTTTTTTTTTTTTGCACCCTATCACACTACAGCCTGAGCAGACATTCCTTTAACCTTTGAAGTTTTATTACATTTTTTTTTAAATAAACAAAAATGTAATGAATACACAACAAGGCCTATGAACCGTTTTTGTTTTCTTTCTTTTGCCATAAATGATACAGAAGGACATGCATAAACATGCAATGATTTTTTATTAAATGTAACAATTTACATAAAAATGTAGCCAACCAATATTCTAATTAGATCTGTCTCGATGTATTTTTATTCTAATCCATGCACAATACGTACTTAATACAATCCTGCTTATTTCAAACATATAGCTCTATAGTAAAAATTTGTGACATCTGTCTTTTTTTTTTACAAATTGCATGCAGTTTAATATTATTATCAGTAATGCCTAGGAATATACAATAAAACTGACAAATAAAGATCCAGCAAAATGAATCAAAAAATAAAGATGCTCAGTTTGTAATATTGCTAGTTTTGTGCAAATATTGGGCTTTTGCAGTCACAAGAAAATAGGTGGTATTTGAATATATAAAGATTAAAATGCATTACACACAAATTGCTGTTTCTGCAGTCAATATCTGGTAGGTTTAACATGATTTTATTCACCTCAGTAAATGGCTTCCTGTCAACAAAAATGAAGGCCGTATTGAATAGCTATTGAAACAAAACTAAAGCAATTTTCCGATAAAGTGCAAAATGGTGCATTATAACCAGAGGGAAAAAAAAGAACAAAACTGAATGTTATCACTGCTTTCTCTAAATACAGCAGTTTAACTTAACAGTAAACGGTACTATTTATGTTTGTTATTGCTCTGAAAAGTCTGCATGACGGGAAGCTACAATCCTAATTGTGTAAATGCATTGAAGCCTTATTAAACTACTTGCATCTCACTTTACCCAGTTTAGTGTTTTTTTATCACTTTAGAATGTCATTCAACATTTTAACCAAAAGAGGACAGTTAAAAATTACATTAAGTTCTATTAAGCTAGATTTGCTTTCCAATTGATCTATTTTGTATTTGGAACATGTAATCATAATACACTGTTTCTACAATACTTCCCCTTCACTATACTATGACCGGAAAACTGTTACTTATATATACATATGTATACATTATTCATACTTTATATATCAAAACATACAAAACATGCATTCTCACTCACTTACAGAACACACACTTTCAAAGCTCTCAAAATGTTATAGTTTTTGGGTTTTGTTTTTTTAAATGCCTGATTTAGGGAAAAATAATGGGAATTTAGTTACAATATATGATCATATATTGCATATGCCTGCCACAACGCCAATGTACCTTATTTATATGTATATAGGTGCATGCAAATATATACATACACGCTCTATTTGACATCTGCAGTTGCTGTACCCCCCTGTACTGCATCATGTAAAATGTTTAATGCAAATCTTAGCCCTGGAGAACTAAAATATGAATAGATTTCTTCAGCAAAAATGAAGCGTAAATAGGGTGTAATTAGGGCGCTATCTGAAATAAAGGGAAGTGTTGCTAAAATCACCAAGTGTTGGGTCATTCCACACAACAAAAATAAATTGAAAATCATTTCAATGTGTTATTTTGGATAGATTTCTTAAGCCAAATGTTTATTTATTTATTTCAACACAATTTAGGTTATTATACAGATCCATGGTTGCATTGCATGACACAATTTGCAACATTCTTTTTAAAGAGTTACATAACCTGTTTTGGGCTGTTTCTCTGTAAGGTACAGAATCAAACATTATTTAACATCTCCACTCTGCTCTCACTGAATAGCTAGTCACGGGAAGCAAATATGATCCATCGACTACCAATGCCAGGAGATAACAGGTTATAATAGAATATAAGGGTTACTACAACCTCCATGAGCGTTTTACTTTTTTAGAAGTGGTTATGGAGCAAGCAATCTGTATGTGAGCATTTCTGCAAGAAACACTGCCTATTGAGAGATATCTGCACTTTTGATTCAAACATGACCTTTGCAGCCTGGACCTCTGTTTGGGATTACCTAAAATACGTTTTGTGCAAAAATTGCAACGGTCGTCAGTGTGCACTGCATACTGGAGACAGACAGAATGAGACTCTCTACTTGCAGACAGCGCATGTAGAGGACCATTAGACTGTGCACGTGCGATTCTCACATGTTCTCTAGGTCTCTCAATGCTTACCTACGAGCATTTGATTGGACCCCGGAAGAAGATGACAACAAAAGAAGTTTCATATTATTTAAAAATATTTTTTGGTTAAAACACAGGGGGGATATAAATTAATTAAATTGAAAACTTTAAAAATAAATGGAGTGAAGAAAGTACATAAAGTAACCCTTCAACGTGCAATATGCTGGTAACTAATATAGCTTCATGAAATTCTTCTGGTGAAACTCAACAAGAGTAAGTATTTTTCTATCTCATATGGCAATGAAGTTTTTTTGTGTAAAGCTGGGCAGGCAGAGATGTAATAAAGTAGTCGGTAAGTATTTCTGTAATATAATCATGTTGAAATATACCTGATTGATAACATACTGAAAAATGTCATGATGTTTTCATTGAATCCCTTTGTATCATATGAACAGTAAACATTATACCTTAATAGACTGTGTGCCCCCATCGTGCCTTTTCTCGTCATTACTTAATAGAACGCAAAACCTGGTCTGAGGAATGAAATGCTATCGGCTTAAATACTAACTGCATTATCAGTCAGAAGATTCCACTTTGTGTTAATCATTTACAGTTGTAAACTGTACTGAACAGCCCTAAAGCTCCCTTTGAAAGGAAAACCCATGTTATCTGTTTTACGTGGACTTGAATGGGAACACAAATGTTGTACGTTGACCTGGGAATTCTAACTAATTGAGAAACCGTTTTTCTGTGTCTCCTCTTTAATAACAACAAAGAGAAGGACCATAATTTATGATATGTTTTGCATTTTACAAACAATCATTTTACTGTTGACATAAGAATACGTTTGCTTTGAACTTCTAGCACCAAACAAGATTTGTGACTTGCTACAGGAAGTTAATTGGAGCAATTTTAAAACATGCGATCAGATACGCCATGTGAAAGAAAACTAATATGGCTCTTAATTTATCTTGGATATTTCTAACATGTCTGTAGTCAGAATGTGTCTGTCTCTCAGATTCATTAGTGGCAGAATTATTACATTAGAAGGAACAGCAAGCAAGAGGAAAATAAAAATTATTATGTAACCATTTTTTGTAGATCAGTGATCCATGTGCAAATAGTTAACAAGGCATTTAAACTATTAAGAGATTGTCCCAAGGGACCCAGCAGCACCGACAAAAAGTAAGAAAATTAGACATCCACAACATGTTTAGATTTTTTTGTTAGAGAACTTTAATAAGAAATAGTATTTTCAAAAACGTATTTAAATGTTAGTTAAGTTCACAGTCACCTTATGTCAGTATGTCAGTGACACTACAGTCACCAGAACAACTACAGCTTAATGTAATTGTTCTGATGTCAATAGCCTGTCCCTACAGGATGTAAACACTGCATTTTCAGAGAAAAAAGGCTGTCACTTGGACAGCCACAAGTGATGCTTCCTGTGTCAGTGCTGCATACAATGACGTTCAGTGTCTCCACGACCTGCATGGAGGCGCTGAATGTTCCCCATAGAGATGCATTAATTCAATGCATCTTAATGAGGAGATGGTGATTGGTGCATCGCTGAGTTTTGCAGCGCATGCGCAATAACCTCCCGATGCATTCCTGTAGGAAAGCATTGGATTGGCCGAGATAATCAAGTTTGATGATCTCAGCCATGAAGGAAAAGCCACCTGTGGCTAGGCGGTACAATAAGGAAGAAAAGGTGAGTAAAATACCTTTTCAAAGCAATGCAAGGGGGACTAGGGACCTAAATAGCCACTCTGAAAGGGGCATGTCCATCCAGAAAGGAGGTGGGTTTGCCCTAATTATGGACAGGTGCGTCTGGGGTGAATGCACACCAGGCTGCCAGCCAATCAAGCAGGTCAGCTCACCGAGGGCAAAACTTGCAGGGGCAAAACTTGCAGGGAACACTGTTTCGGTGCTCTCTGCAGGGTCCTAGAGCCTTGATTGTAGTGCTGGTGCAAAGGGCTCTAACATGTATCAAAGAGCAGAAAGGTATATTGTGAACTGCTACCCCTTGTGTGTGAATACAGTGGTACAGTAGGATGGAAGTAGGATGAAGGGGCAGCAGAATTCCTTTTATATTTTACAGCAGAGAGCAAAACGCCTTCAAGCAGTCACTTGCTTAATTATACCTGGAATGCCCATGAACTTTTGTTACAAGCAGCAGGTGATGACAAATGATAAACTGGCACCCACTGTAAAAGCTAAAGTTTCTTCTCCTCTCCCTGGATCTGAGTGAGCTAAGCTGCAAGGAAGGCGTGGGGGTTTGTAAAATAAACTGAGTGGGAGACTAAACTATGCATATATGTGACTATATGTATATAAGTGTGCTTACATTAGTATGTATGATACTGTATATGTCATTGTGTGTCTATATAGGTATGTGACTGCATGTCTCTGTATGTTTGGACATGTGACTGTGAGTATGACTGTGTGTGTATGATATTATTACTGTGTGTGATGGTATGACTATGTATGTAACTTGTTTGATTGTACATGTATTTGATTGTGTGTGTATGTGCCTGTGTGTGTCTATGTACAAATGAATGATCATGATGCTAAGTGAATGTCAGGGTGGTAAAATATATGTGGAAGGATGTATACTCTTGACTGGCCTACATCAGCCACAAATCTACACATATGGCTGTGTTTTATTGGCTAAGGAATTTACATACTCAGTGAATCATACATACTTTAAAATTCCACTAGGAAAGAAACGATCTGCATGGTGGGAATGAGTCATATTACAGTCTTTCCTTTTTAAAACATGGCACACATACAGAAAATGACTTTAATGAAAGAGATAACTGGACATTGAGTGAGTCTGATAGGGGATAGACCCTGATTCTTTATTTATTATTGTTGTCAAAAAAGGGAATTCTGCAATCAAACTATCAAAAATTCTTTATTAATTATGACCCGTGAGAGTAGACTTATATTTTATGACTAATCCTGGCAAAAAGTTGTTGGAAAATAAGGAGCTCATGTGTATCTAAACGGTAAAAGAAGAGGGTCAATGAGTGAATAGGGTATTGAAAGATGAGGGAGCATATGCCGAGAAAGCAATTGGCCCAGGAGCAACTATACGTGACTACACTGAATCTAGCTTAAAACTCCTGATGCAACTGGCTTGTAACCTTTGACTGTGAATGATTACAAAGGTCTCAGTGACCACAAGCTCACTCAGAGGGACTAGACTCAAAGCTACTCTGGGTATTTAGAGCAGTACTAACATCACTGCCTTTAAACAGAGAAACCAAGGATCAAATCCTGGTCAGACCACCTTGCCAGAAAGTGTCCTCAGGCAAGACACATAATAAGATATATATTATATATTGTTTTAGCAGGGCCTTCTTCAGCTCTAAATAGCAATTTTCTATAATTATAAAGTGCTGTACAATGTGTTGGTGCTATAAAAAGTCTAATAATAATAACTTCAGTCAGCAATCCTCAGTTTTTCTTAATTAATTAATTATTTATGGACAGTCAATTAGTTACATACAGTGTACTTGAAAACCCACTGCATCATTGTATAATAGCGTGAGAAATACAGATTATAATATTTTTATCCAATAAAACACTTCTGCCTGTATGAGGTGAAATGCTTTTCTTCTAAAGAAAAATGGTGTCTCAGACTGTCTTTTTTGAATGGATATAAACTATAACTAAGCTTAACAAAAAGAGTAACATGTTTGAAGAACCTATTTTATTGTCCTGCTGCTGGTGTGTCACACTGAGTGTAAGCTGCTATCCAGAGTGTGTCCGATCTTTTACCAACACTCTTAAGAGACAGGTATTAAAAGAAGTGAAGAACCAAGATAAATGTGATAAAGGGAAAAAGCAACAGAGTTATTCAGGAAGCACCACAAAGTAAAAAGTGAGTGGGGGTTCTCCCACGAAAGAGCACCCTCATGTGCACCAGTCCCTTCTTCCTTAACTGGCATTGTAAGACTTCCAAAGTTCTCATGTTTTTTTGAAAGAGCCCATTGCATTTGGGATCTAGGTGGTTAGCTTGTCCATGATAAATGTGTCTTATATTTTACTTAGTACTATTTCAATATTTGGAACTTCAGTTCGTAACCATGCTTGACTTTGTGCACTGCAAGCTGCTAATGTGATTTTATTAAAGATTCATTGTTCACCTCCTTGTAAGCCATCAATAGGTACCTTTAGCAAAAAGCACCATGGGTCTAGGTGTACGTGTCTGTGGAAATCCTGGGATTGTAAATCCTGGACTTGTATGAGTATCTGTGATTGCATAGATGCCAACATGTATTTGAAAGCATCCTTCCGATGTGATACAATTGTACACAAATGTATACCATCAGAATAATGTTAGGACTTTTCTGGCATTGCACCCAATTTTTCTAGGCTTACATTAAACACAGATAGCTATTCAAAGTTCTCTAGTACTGTGGCCAAGTGCTGCATTGTTGTTTTCAATTTTGTTAGGGTCAATAGGATGTCGTCTGCATATGCGGACACTGCATACCGTTCAGTGGCTATCTTTACTCCCTGAAACTCTGGTTGATATATAGAAGGGGTTCTATTGAAATAGCAAAGAGCAGGGTTGAAAATGGACACCATTATCTTGTGGAATTGTCCATTTTAAAAGGGTTATCCACTTATCCTGGGTTCTTTACCTGTGCTCTGAGGTCTGAATAAAGAGGTTTGACTGTGGAGAAAAATGTTAACCGGAATAAGTAGGGTCATTCTAATCGGGCAAATGCCTCCAAAAATAAGACTAAAGAAGGTTCAAATGTTTCACATCTCATGTTTTCTTAAAGTTGGTGGTCAGGCATAAGTCCCACTTGATCCAAGTGAATTATTGTGTCCCAAGATGGGGTTTAATCTATCAGCTAGTATTTTGTGTAATATCTTAAGGTCACTATTTATGAAGGATATCTATCTATAGTTTTCTCCTGCCAGTGCAACTCTACCTGGTTTTGGTTTGGTAGAAGATTAATGTTTGCCAATGTCTTTTATGGAACCGGTATCCCCCCTTTGCGCATATTCATTAAAAAACAGTTTTAAGTGTGAGGATAGCTCAACCCTAAAAGTTTTCTAGTAGCTTCCCTCTAAG